CCATGATTTAGTGGATCCTATACTAGCAACGAGTTTTGCCTTTTCCTCGGTGTGTAAAGAGTATTTCTGGAGGAGGATTCTGGGAAGATGGAGGAGTCAGAGGCACCAGGAATATCTCTCTCCATCTAGACAATGATTGCACTGTCAGAATCTGACTGATGTAACTATGTTGGAACTCTAGAGTCTATTGAAGGCTTGTAAGTTCCAGAGGAAGGCTGAGATGGTAAAATGCATTAATTTTGGTCAATATTAGCTGTTAACACAGTGGAAGCTAACCATTTCCCACCCTTTAGCCAAGTGACGAGCAGCCGAACATGTGGGCCTGAAGCAGCCTACACACAGCTTGGAAGAGCCAGGGTAAGCAAAAAACAATAACAAATAAAAACAAACAAACAAACAAACAAAAAACCCCACCTCCCAATTATCAAGGTTCTGTGTTCTGATCTTTACTGCTTCTGATCTTGAGGTACCATCAGAGTCAGCAGCCATTGTTGTTGTACCTCCCCATGTTGGGGCAAGCTCCTGCTCCTCTGTTGAACTGACTTCCAGGGGACTAAAAGGAATGGCAGTCCTTTTCCTCTTCATTCATTTTCTCTTCTTCTCTTTTGAGAGCCATACATTGAAAATTAAGACATTCGTGAGCAGCTGCATATATAAGGAAAATTAGAAAATGATGACACATAGCTGGGAAAAGACATGGGCTCAGAAAAGACTTGAAAAGACCTTATATTTATACCTCAGACTGATCTTTGCCACAGAGATACCCTACAACAACAATGACAACAACAAACTGAAACAATAAAAACAGTAAGAAAAAACAACAAACCCTGGGAAATTGGGAGAATCTGATTTCCAGAGTTACCACATCCAGTTTTCAACAACAACAAAAATCACAAGGCATACAGAAAGTAGGAATCAAAGAAAAAAAAAATCAACAGAAACTGGCCCTGAGACCTGATGGCAGATCTACTAGACGGAGATTTTATTTTATTTTTTTAAAGATTATTTATTTATTTGACGGAGAGTGAGATCACAAGTAGGCAGAGAGGCAGCCAGAGAGAGGGAGAAGCAGACTCCCCGCTGAGCAGAGAGCCCGATGTGGGGCTCGATCCCAGGACCCTGAGACCATGACCTGAGTCGAAGGCAGAGGCTTAACCCAGTGAACCACCCAGGCGCCTAATAGACAAAGATTTTAAAACAACACTCTTAAAGATGCTCAAAGAACAAAAAGGATATGTGGGAGAAGTAAATGAAAGAATGTATGAGCAAAATGGAAATATCAGTGTAAAGATAGAAAACTCAAAAGAAACCAAAAGGAAATTCTGGAGCTGGAAAATATAATAACTGAAATGAAAAATTTACTAGAAGGATTTAAAGGCAACTTTGAACAGCCTGAAGAATCAATGAACTTGAAACAAAGAAATAAGATTGAAGAAAAATGAACAGAACCCAAGAGATCTGCAGGACATCATGAAATGGACCAATACACATATTATAGAGTCCTAGAAAGAGAAGTGAGAAAAAAGGGCAAAGAGAATATTTGAAGAAACAATGGTTGATACTTTCCAAATTTGACATGAATATAAACATCCAGGAAGCTCAGTAAGCTCCCAGAAAGATAAATTCAAAGGGACCCACACCAAGATCCATTATAACCAAACTTTTGAAATCTAGAGACAAAGAGATACATTTGAAAACATCAAGAAAGTATCACTTACAAGTGATCCTAAATAAGATTATAAGCAGAATTCTGATCAGAAACTTTGGAGGCCAGAAGACAGTGGGTTGATATAATCAAAGTGCTAAAAGAAAAAACAAAAACAAAACTTCTGTCAACCAAGAATCCTATATCCAGCAAAGCTGTTCAAGAAGAAGGCAAACCATAAAAGACTCTTTAACTATAGGAAACAAACTGAGCGTTGCTGGAAGGGGATGTATAGGGATAATTAGGTGGTGGGCTTTAAGGAGGGCACTTGATGTAATGGGCACTGGGTGTTATATGCAACTGGTGAATCTCTAAATTCTACCCCGAAAACTAATAATACTAATAATACACTACATGTTAATTAAATTGAACTTAAATAAAAAATTAAAAAAAAAAAAAAACAGTGAGGGAAGAATTAAGATACTCCCAGATAAATAAAAGCTTAGGAGTTTGTTGCCACTAGAACTGTCCTACAATAAATGCTCAAGGGAGTCACTGAGGGTAAAATGAAAAGACACTAGGTGATAACCCAAAGCCATGTGAAAAGAAAAATATCTCAATAAAGGTAAGTACATGGGCAATTACAAAGGTAGTATTATTGTAATAATGGTTTGTGATTCCATTTTCTGTTTTCTACATGACCTAAGAGAGTAATATATTTACAAAAACTATTAGTCTGAAAACTAGTATTATTGGAACTTTGGTTTGTAACTTCATGCTTCATTTTCTACATTAGGTAAGATGTTAATGTATTTAAAAGAATTTATTATTTGTGTTTGGGAACCCACAGTGTATAAAGACAGAATTTTGTGACATCATCAACCAAAAGGGCTAGAGATGGAGCTGTAAAATAGCAGAATTTTTGTATGTTACTGAAGCGAAGCTGGTATAAATTCAAAGTGTTAAAATTAAGTGTTACAAATTTAGGATGTTACAAGTAATCCCCATGGTAACCACAAGAAAATAGCTGTAGAATAATATACACATACACGGACACAAAATGATAATAGATTTACTCATTTTACTACAAAGAATCGACTAAGTATGAAAGAGGAGAGTAATGCGGGAAATGAAGAACAAAAACATTATAAGGTCTACAGAAACAAATAGGAAAATGACAGACATAAACCCCTTCTTTTCAGTAATTACTTTAAATGTAAGTGGATTAAAATCTAATTGAAAAAAAGAGATTGGCAGAATGGACTAAGAACAAGAAAACAAACAACCCCTCCCCAACACTCATACCATGATCCAACTACATGCCATCTGTAAGAGAGTCACTATAGATCCAAAGACACGAACAGAATGAAAGTGAGAGGATGGAGAAATATGTTCTATGCAAGTAGTAACTGAAAGAGACAAAACAGACTTTAAGTCAGAAACAACACACTTTTAAAAAATGCATGAATCAAAACAAATCACAAGAGAAATGAAAAAATACTTAAAGTTGAATGAAAACAAAAGTGCAATGTACCAAAACTTATGGCATGTAGAGAAAGTAGTATTAATGGGGGAATTTACACATCAGAAGAATATCAGCAGATTAAAAAGGCAAGCCACAAAATTGGAGAAAATATTTATAAATTATATATGTGACAAGCAATTAATATGCAGAATATATAGAGAATTCCTAAAACTCAACAGCAACAACAACAAAATCAAACAATGTGATCCATTTTTGAATGTATCTGTGGGTGTGGGTGTACTCAAAATAATAGGACTCCCTCTCCTTAAAGAGCCAGTCCTTTCAGCTGTTGGCTTCTTTTATATAACAAGTATCATTCTGACATGTAACCATCCATATTCTTGTTCACCCATATATGTATTTATGGTGTTGTGTAACCAGGTGAACACTTGTCTGGAATGGAGAAAGCCTTTGGTTTGATTGCAGGTGATTATGCCTTTTGAGTGAATTCTCACAGAAGTAGGTGGGCAGGAATACATTGCATTTTGTTGAAGGAGAAAGCTAATTATTTGATGTATAACTTGAGTTTCCAGGATGTCTGTCTCAAGGCAAAAAATATGTCTTATTAAAAAGATACATTGGTGGGAAAAAGAAAGGAAAGAAGGAAGAGGGGAGGGAGAAGAAAGGAGGGGAGAGAAAAAGGCCATCTCTGTTAGTTCAAATTGCTTGTAGCCATTGGAAAAATTGGCCAAGTCCCATGTTCTGCCATTTGAGGGTCAGCGGGGTCATTGCTTTTGGGTTCATTTTGCTGCTGCTACTACTGCCACCTCAGTTGTCACCTTCTTCTCCTTCTCGTTTTTGCTGCATTGCTGTCATTATTTGTGTTGCATTCCAGATTTATGCTAAATGAATCAAATAATCCAAAAATTTGCTTAAGTCACACATTGTTAAACATGCATTTGGAATGATTTCCTGCGAAAGCCTGGGTGCAGAATACAAATATTTTGAATGGACTTATCTTAGAGTTGTACTGCTTTTTTTACTTGTCACTTTAAAACCCTTAATATGAATAAATTGTTTGTATAGTGGGCTTTTTTAAATCTTTAGATAAGAAATACATGGTTTGAAAGCAGAGAATAAAAAAATGAATGGTAATGTACGCAATGCCCAGGAAAGGTCCTTGCTGCTGCTCATGGGCAGGCGTTATAATCAGCTATTTGGTGTGTTTATTTCAGGCTGCAGATAGTGGATAAAAGTGGCTGGTTGGTTGCCAGCACATGACTTAGTTGCCAAATGGAGTGTTTAGTACTTGTTACATTTGATTTATATCACAAGTTCTTCCCATTAACAGTCTACTGATGATAACCTACTTGGCTTTTCATGTGGTTACTTTGAAACAGCCACTTGACAACATTTGGCATATCACAAAATTTACTACTGAATAAAGGAGTGAGTGAATGACTACATAGGTTCTGCCATATACTGATATGGTGCTTGATGCAGAATGGGCACCCACTGCATGTCTTTTCATTGAATGAAAAAAATCCTGCTAATGTATTTCTCTGATTCACTGTAATGGAGATTAGATTAGGGACCAGTCTGGTAGGAAGGACAGAAATAGGTAGAAATAGCAATGTTTACATGCCTAAAGGGCTTGCATCAGTATGGAAAGAGGTAGTCTGCTCATCTGTATCACCATTTAAATACAAAGTTTAATAACATGGAAGGATGAGGTCTCATCAAAATGGTCTTGATTCTAAGTCTCTGTAACTTCAGTGCTGACAATGTCTGTACCCTGGGGTCTATGTTTTAAAAACAGGTCCAGTTAAGGAATCTTGGCCTTGGATATGTTATAAAATATGCATTAAGTATGGTGATCTTTATTTTCAGATTGAAAACTTACAAGAACAACTTAGGGATAAAGACAAACAACTAACCAATTTGAAAGACAGAGTGAAGTCCTTGCAGACGGATTCCAGTAATACAGATACTGCGCTAGCAACACTCGAAGAGGCTCTGTCAGAAAAGGTGAGCTTGGGCTGAAAAATGGGGGTGTTAGGATTTAGGGAAGCATGGTTGGGAGGAGGTGATCTAAATGTGCCCGCTTTTGTGCTCACACTACCTGCCTTCCCAGCTGGACCTCCCACTCCCATGTTAGCCTTCCTCAGTATACTTGGCACATTAAATAAGCCAGGAGAGCCTTGAAATGCAAAACTGATCCCATCATATTTGGCTCTGCTTAAAAACCTTCATTAGCTTGTTACTGTTCTTAGGATGATGACAACTGAAATCCTTAACCTGGCACATACGATCCACCCCTTCATCTGATCTGGCTCGTATCTGATCAGCTATCTCTCTGCCTGCCTGCCTTACTCCTCTCCCCTTCCATCCTCCCATCCTCCCATCCTCTTTCCCTTTCTCCTTCTTATTTTTCTTCCTTCCCTTCTTTGCTTTTCCCTCCCTCCCTTCCTCTACCTTCCGTCTTTTTCTGTCTTTCCGTCCTTCTCTCCCAGACTCATCCCCCATCTCTCTTCCCTCATTTTCCGTATCCTAGCTACGCTGGCCTAGATCTTCCAAGTTTGCCATGTTCCTTCCTTTCTCAGACCCTTTGCCCACACTGTTACCTAGCCTGGAACGTTCTTTACTTTCTGCAGATTTAATTCCTCTTCTTCTAGGAATTCAGCTTCCTGAAAAGCTGTATTACACAGCAGTCAAGGATGTGGACTTGGGAGCTATACTGCCTGTCTCCTATATTCCCCATTATCATAGTCCATGAACTGTAGTAATGAAGTCAAGTGGAAGGAAACCTGGGTTGGAGCTAGTCCCAGCCCTGCCACTAACTGGATGACCTTGGCAAGTAATTCTCTTTCCCAGCACCTCAAATTTGTGGGAAGAAATGTATTAAATTAAATGGCCCACAGATTTTTTTTTCTTTTTTAAGCCAGTGTATCTTAAAGAAGGCTTTTTTGACTTCTGTGTCAGAATCACCAGAAGGTGCCTGTTGGAAATCTAAATCATTAGGCTCCATCTATACCTACTAAACCAGAGCTTTGAGAGGGTCTGGGATTCTGTACTTTAGCAAGTTCCAGGAGTGAACATCCCGTCATTGGTGATTGTTCACTCTAGTCTGAGAGCCACAGCAGTACATAAAAAAATAGAGATGCTAAAAGGAAGAGCCATAAGTCTATGTCTAGATAGAAATGATAACATTATAACCTTAATATTAAATTATTAAGATACGCGATTTTACTTGAAAACATAAAAGAATAAATAAGATAATTCTTCTGGGAAAATTCTCTTTTTAAAATTCTTAAGAATTTACTACCAAAACTCTCTGTAGTAATTTTGTTTGTAAAAATTTGAATGAGGGAATGTTCGTTCAAAAATATTAATGATTATGTATCCTGTTTGCAGTTTTTGAGTGATATGATGTCAGTGCATTACTACCTCTCAGTTTCTTTCTGCAACTTTACGGAAGTAAACATATACCATATAATTTTTCCATGTCATGGATTACTTGGCAGGATTTTATCTTTTTTTTCCCTTGGCCCTATTAAGATTTGATTTATTCTTGTTTAAATCCCCAAACAATTCCCAAATCTGAAACTATTTCTTTTATTTAAACACTTCCTTTGAGACTGAGAGGATGACTGGGAAGGAAGACTGAGGTCTGTGGGAGTCTGCCCCCCACTATACTCATGCCACCACTTGAGAGTTGTATCACGTGGGGGCAAGCCTCTTCTCTTAGTACATTATTTTCAAAATGCACATTTAAATTAGCTGACATCCAAGTTCCATTTCTCTTTGGATCCACCTTGATAATAATTATTCAGTTTGCTGATCCAAAATCTCAGGTGCATGAAATCTGAATTGGGCAGTAGATGAGGAGTTGAGTAGTTAGATACCTTTAAGAGTCAGGCAGAGAACAAAAATGAGGGAAGTGAGCTTGGTGTGAGGCAGTAGGGACTGCTGGCAACTGTGACAAGTGGCAGAGTCCTTGACCTACCTCAAGCCATTCAACTTCAGGTTTTAAAATATCATGATGCTCAAACCAAATGTGAGGTAGGCCAGCTTTGGCCTGGAGCTCTTAGTTTTCAAATTTTATTTGCATCTGACTTTTAGTCTTTCACAGTAATGAAGATTAAAAGCAAATACAGATCAATTCATTTGAAGGGAATTTTCAAATGGTAACAAAATCAGGATGTTAGTGTATTTGAAAAGCACAGACAAAAACATTGGATAGGAACTGGCAAGGTTCTTCATCATGGGAGAATAGTAGATTCATTGTAAGTATTTATTCCAGTATCAAACTTTTGTGTGTATCCAAATAATCTTACCATCTAGGGAGCTTTGTAAAATACAGTTTCCTGGGTCCCATTTCCTAGTGGTTCTGATTCAGTTGCTTTTCCATGGGTCCAGGGAATCTGTGACTTTTTTTAAAAGGATTTTTTATGTATTTATTTGAGAGAGAGATATAGCGAGAGAGAGTACACAAGCGGGGAGGAGAGGGAGAAGCAGGGTCTCCAGTGAGCAGGTAACCCCATGTGGTGCTCATTCCTAGGACTGTGGGATCCTAGATGCTTAATGACTGAGCCACCTCAGTGCCCCAGAACCTGTGATTTTTTAAAAAAGTATGCCAGTGATTCTGATGAAAGTGGTCAAATGACCACACTTTGAGAAATACCAAACCTATACGCTTCCATTTTAAAGAACTGAAAATTTTCGACAGATGCAGCACAATTCCCTGTTTCTGGGTGCTAGGTAGATGTCATAGATAGACTGTGGTGCATGCTAACTTCTCAACCCAGTGCTCCAGGAAGCCACTTCTCATCTAAGTTGCCCCTATGTTGGGACTTTGTTGCCTTCCTGGACTGTCCCAAGGCCACTGAGCTCACCCGTCATGGAATGTGACTGAAACTCAAACCTTCTAGTAATTATTGTTTTTACAACATCATGATCACCTTTAGTGGCCCTTCCCTCACAAGTTCCAGTTTTATCCACATTTAATTGAACAGATCCCCTGGAACAAGATATGGTATAAAAAATAAAATGATTAATTAAAAATCATGGACTCATAAGAACATCTAATTATTTGCTGTCATTTGGCTGATGAATGGAACCTATTAGGCACTATTCACCATTCCACTTGAATTATGACCTTTGGGGAGTGTGTTATTCATTTTAGTTTCTGAGAATTTATATACATATTCACGGTGCAAAAACTAATGCCACTTAGCAAGTTAAGATTGAGTATGACTTAGTTCTAAGATTGACACACAGAAGCTCAAGAGACGGAACCCACAGGATTTATAAAGCTGGTCTCGCCAAGCGTTGCTGTAGCCGCATAGCAGATAAGCAGTTGAGAAAGGCAGATAGCAGAGCCGGAGGCTGCTGTAATTCAGTTCCCGCGCAGTGATAAAGCACAAATAGATTAGACCTGTGCAGAGCCAGATGAGTGCGCAAGAAATACTTGCCAATGCAAATAAGACTAAAACAAGAACACGTTGTTGGAATTTCTGCAAGTTAGTTGTTAATCAAGTAGATCATGGCATATTAGGGCCTTTTAACACATGTTTTTGACATCTGGCCCTGCGTGGCTGACAGTTAAATTAGTTTTGTGATTGACGGAGAAATATTTTGTAGTATTGAATCATCAATAACACTTAAAAACATTATAGTGCTTGCTGACTTTTTTTGTCATCGATGCCCAGTCAATAGTACAAGTGCTTAGAGCAAATCAACCTACTTACCAAATGACTCTGACACCTTCTGGATGTTAACATGCATACTTAATTTTATTTCCCTTCCTTTGAAGCTAAGACAGTCCCAAGTTGAGTTCTCACTCCTCTTATTCCTTCCTTCAGCTTCTTTAATTGCCTGTTGTATGCCAGACAGTTTGCTCAGCCCTGAGTTAAAAGAGTCTTAGGAGTTGAGTGCCGCCCTTTGGAAAGCTAGGCTGGGAGGATAGACATACAGTAAAACCACATGAAGGGCACTGAATGGGAACAAAGGCCACATGATCCAGCCAGACCAATTCCTGGGAAAGTTTCCAGGCAGGGAGGTGACACAGTTTGGGACTTAAAAAAATGTCACTCCAACAGCTCATGTGGTGGCAGTGATGGCATGGACAGGGCCTGGTGGCCGGGGGACCAGTTGTGATGCTTTTGCAATGAGTGTAGGCATAAGGCAGTGAGGGTTCAGCTGCTGAAAATGTTAAAAGCCCTTGAGAGACTTCCTGTGCACTGAGGCCATTTCCTTTTTTTGTAGATGGCGTAATTATCCACTCACCAGTGTCGCAGGCAGTCAAATAGGACTATAACCGGAATCGAGAAGAAACAAATGCAGACAATCAGTAGACTGATTTTTCTGTTTCCACCCCCACTGTTGTAATAATATACTTCATTTTAAAGTGTTTTTAGCTAATTACAAAACAATAATGATACTTCTTTTTTTCCTTGAGAGCATTAGATACATAAATTACTGTCATTGGGGTAGAACAGTTTCTTCCCTGGGGGGACTTAAATCACAGGCTAAGTGTTCAAACTGACCTCTCTCTGAATCATATACTTTTTTATGTTTCTTACATATCAGGCCTTGTCTAATACTACATACTTATAAGAATATAAAAGATAACATCAGGATTCTTAAGAGTAATTATTGCACCAGTATTTTTTTATTTTGCCATCCTAAAGGAAGTTCAAATATGTGTTGGGTAATTTGAAACAAATTTTAGAAATCTAGCTCAAACTTCACCCCAGTGCAATTTTACTTAAAAAGAATAAGGCTTTTATTTTGATACTGGTTAGATTTCACATTTTTGGAGAACACGTCTATCAGACCAGTGCTTTCATTTCAGCATGTAAGTCAGGGGACGCAAGGTTCTCAGATCTCCTTAACCGGCACCATGCATCTATTTTTGGCAGTGTGGTCTCATGCACATGGCTAAGACTCAGAGAGCCCTGGATGCTAGGCTGTGCCTTCTGTTTATGTGCTGGGTCACCTTGGATGAGTTAGCCGGTCTTTGGGCCTGGGTTTCCTACCATACTGTTACTAGTAGCACTGGCTCAGACCGTGCAGTTGTGATGAAGTCTAGAGGAAGAAAGACACATCGCAGAGCCTAGCATGTAAGAAACTCTCAGTAAAGGAAGGCTGCTATTTGAACTTTGTCAAATTAAAGCAATGTTTTGTTGGAGTCTCTACTGATTGCCAAGAAGCCATTGGAAAAATATGGAGGAAAAATGGTCATCTCTAGGTACATTGGCAAATCACTTATCCAATGAGCTCATTCATTATTTTGTTTCAAGTTCTCGCTATTAGTTCAGACCTAAGTCCTGAAGGGCCTACATCTTGCCCCACTTAGATCCCCTTTCTAACCACAGCAGAATCTTCAGAAACCAAGGAAGTTTTTTGGGAAACCAAGCAAAGGAATAGGAAAACCAAGCAAAAAAGGTTGAACCAAGAGGTTAATTATCCTTCTTCTACTAGTCCATTAAAGTCTTTCATAAATCTAGAGTCTTGGTGCCTAAACCTTCTGGAACTGCTTTTGGAATTTCCCAAGTACCACCATGAACCAAGAACAGCCTCAGATCTTGAACATTAAGATTCCTTGCAACGCTGTGATGCTGACTTTTATTAGTAAGCCAAAAGCCATATTGATTGTCTTTTCCAAATGCTGTTATGCACAGCCTGTCTTCACAAACCCAAGTTTAACTGTCTTGCGTGTGTTGACTCATGTAGATCATTTCTTACATTTATTGCCTCCCATTTCCTTTTGTAGTGTGCCTTGACATACAACCGATGGCTTCTCACTTCTCTTTTAATAATTGCCTCACAGGAGAGAATAATTGAGCGTTTGAAAGAACAGCGGGAGAGAGATGATCGGGAAAGACTAGAAGAGATAGAATCTTTCCGAAAAGAGAACAAAGATCTGAAAGAGAAGGTCAATGCTTTACAAGCCGAACTGACTGAAAAAGAGGTGAGTCTGGAAAAACAAATGAACCATGCTGATAGTCCCATTCTCGGGAGCCTCAAGAGACTAGAGAGTGAGTTTGAGGGTCTGTGTGAAGGTTTGGGGACATAGTTACCTTTCCTTGTCAAAGCCATTGGAGTTCAAAGGAAAATATTTATACCGTAACTCCCTTTATCAGGATGCCTTATGCCCTCGTCTTTACTCTCACTGCATACAATGTAGCTCCTTGAAAGTTTTCTTGATGTTTTACCACATTTGTGTGGCTTAGAGGATTCTGTAATTTTTTTACTGTGCCATGATGTTTTGCTTGGGATAACAACAATATCAATAATAATAATAACAACAACAACAACAACTTCTGCACTTACTGAGGGTCTATTACATGCCAGTCCTTGTGTTACATGCTTTACATTGATCTGTGCTGCTCAACCAGATCACTGAATACTTCCAGGTTAGGGGATACAGTACCATGCTAGACACAAAGTATATGTTAAATGTGACAATTCTTCTGGAATATCGATTTTACATTATGATAAATAATTTAGAACAATGTTTTCATGCTAGAGCAAACATGAATGCAGAATACAAATCCTACCTGCATTTTTTAAGTAAAACAATATATTTCAAAGAAATTTTTTGCTTGGGGGTTATGGAGAGGATGGGTAGGGCTATACTCCCCATGCTCTGAGGGATAGATACCTCTACCTCCTTTAGTTTACTTAGGGATACGTTGATGGAGAAGTTTGAGAAGCAGCATTGCATGTTATTTTATTCAGTCTCCAGAACTCTGAGATATGTGCTATTGTCCACAACTGGCCCCTTCACACTTATTTTTGTCCATAGGAAATGTCCATCTCCTTTAGGGCTATCACAGATTCTTTCCTCCTATTGGGCTGTATCACGCATAGGTGTCTGTTTTCCAGCACCAGATTATTACCTCAGCCTTTGGTTTTGGTAATTCTGTACAAATTAAAGTACTGTCTAAATGAGGAATCTAAGTTTGGGAGATTTGATGAGTAATAGAAACAAAATGCAAGTTCCCTAAAATGTAAGTGTGCTGTTTTTTGTTTTTGTTTTACAGAAGAGATTATTTCTTTGATAGGAAAATGAAGAATGTAAATTCTCTTCCTACTATTTCACTGCTAAATCTGACTTAGGGGATCTGTAATTACTGTAGTTGGTATATAACAGAATGCACAGAAGCTTTGATCTCATTTGCAATTTGAGTAACCGATTGTGTTATTCATGGATCTGCACCTTAAAAAAAAAAAAAATATATATATATATATATATATACACATATATATATATGTATCTCAACTATATATATATGATTTATATGATTGAAAAGAGATCTTGATGATGTTATGGAGCATAGCTTTAAATGAAAATAATTTTGTAAACAATGCCTACCTTGTATGATTTCAGACAAGCATTTCAGCAAACATTTATTGTTCCTGTATAGTAATGTGCCTGCCAGTGGGATGGGTGTGTCAGTCAAGGTTCTACCAGAAAAACAGAACTGTATTAAGAAATTTAACCATGTTAAGAAGTTTATTGCAAGGAATTGGCTTACATAGTTATGGGGACTGGCTAGGCAAGTCTGAAATTCATAGGGTAGGTCATCAGGAAGGGCAGGCTGGAAACACTCCAGACAGGAACTGACACAGCAGTCCACAGGTGGATTTCTTCCTTCTCAGGGAAATCTCAGTCCTGCTCTTAAGGCCTTTCAACTGATGGGCTCAGGCCAACCCAGATTTGGAGAATAATATCCTTTATTTAAAATCAACTGATGATAGTTTTTAGTTACATCTACCAAATACCTCCATAGCAACACCTAGATTAGTGTTTGATTGAGTAACTGGGGACTATATAGCCTAGCCAAGTTGACACATAAAGCTATCAGACCTGGCAATTTAAAATGTATAGAGAAAAACAACATATAATTGTTGTCAGCTTATAATTTATTTGGGGTGATAATCACCTTCGTCATGACAAAATGCCTAGATTGCAAGGTCTATTATTCTTTCTGTGGGAGTAGTATGATAAAGAGCATTGAAATTGGAGTCAGAGTTCTGGGTTTGAGACCTCTGTCTTCCTTTAATAGGTCAGAAACCTTAGAAAAGACAGTTCTTGTGACCCTCAGTTTCTTGATCTGAAAGATGAGAGTGGCTGCTCTGTCCTTCAGAGGGTTGTTAGGAGCTGGATAGTTTGCTGAGTGATGGTGATATTATCATCAACAAGATTATTCCAGGGCCCAGGAAGTAGCTCAGACACAAAATATTAGGTAATATCATTTACTGAGTGGCCACTGTGTGCTTAGTGTCCTTCTAGATGCTGCAAAGGGATATAAAGGAAACTCACAAAGTCTAATTTTGGATAATACCTGAATATTTTGGATACATTATTAGATGCTGCTAATCATTTCATGTTTGGTAATAGACATTGCCTTCTTAGCTAAGCACATTTATATTCCATGATATATGCACATATTTACTTTACTTTTTGAAATTCAGACTATCCAGGGGAACTCTTGGTTTCTGGGTGTGATTGATGAGTGGAACAATGTAGGCAAACCCATGTCTGAAATGGGGAGATTCATTATCTCTTGAATTAGGATTTACAAAGGACTGGGATATAAAGTCTACTCTAAATTTTAAAATAATTTTATCTTTGATTCTATAGAAGATATCTTAGAAACTGTTGGTTATTTTTCTATTAAAGAAGTGGAATTTGATAAAAACTTAACAAGATGCTTCTTTTATATTTAATTTGCCCTTTGGGGGGGGAAGCATTAGAGTTAGTATTTTCTTTCATATTTATCTTAGAGTCTGCACGACTTGACAGCAATAAATGTAAATGGAAGGTTCGTTTGCCATGACATGTAAAGAGCACCTTGGGACTTACATCATCAGCATGACTTTGAGACATGAAACACGCATTTACTGACCACACCATTTGGTCACATTTGATTCTACTGCAATTAGATCCTGCTCGATTCTGTAAGCTGGCCAATTTTAATTTCCTGGCCAGAGCCGCTATTGTTACCTTAGTAAGACTATATTTACCCTTTCTGTCTAATGCACACTTTACTACTATGCAGAGAATCAATGTAATCAAATTGAAGACTAGTTGAAATTGTGGTGTTTTACTTACTAGTGTTCTTTCCTTTCAGTCTAGTTTAATTGACCTCAAGGAACATGCATCTTCATTAGCCTCAGCAGGGCTGAAAAGGGACTCCAAATTAAAATCTCTAGAAATAGCCATTGAACAAAAGAAAGAAGAATGTAGCAAATTGGAAGCACAGTTAAAAAAGGTAAGTGAAGTCCAAGGAAAAAAATGCTCATTTTACAATGAATTTATAAAATGGAAAAGGAAGAGATATTTTGCAAAGAAACAAACCCCTTATCTTTTGCTGTCTGGTGATAAGAGAATTAGGCACTCTTAACTCATGAAGTCTGCATCAAATTGGCCAGTGAACCTGAAAAAATATCTTAGGTTTCCTGTCTGAAAAAGAACTTGAAAAACAGATGAAAATAGTAGTGGAAGTAAAAAAAAAAATATTATAAAAATAAGCTGCTACTCTCTGGGTAAATCTCAACTATAAAAACAAAAGTGAAAATGTTTGTAACAAATCAAAGAATCTGGGTTCCCATTATATGTTGATAAACTTTTACTACTTTCAGAAGTAGGTTAATTTTTATATTGGAGCTTTGTAAAAGTTTACTTGACAATATTAAATTTCTAGAAGTCCACCCAAATAGTCAAAGTCCCTAGAATATCTGTGGGATGACTATTTGTACTTAACCAAAAATGACCTTAATATCTTAGAAAGCTTGTTGAATGTAGAAGACTTTGTAAAAGAAAACAGGATCTTTACATTGCAGCATTAACATGTTTTCTCTGAACTGCACATTTTTGTGGAGTACCTTTCTAGTCATGCATCGTTCCTTTGACTTTTTCCCTGTGTTGTTTGGTACGTCTGCACTCATTGTTCATATAAAACTCATAATTTTATGAGTTTAAGCATTTTGTTTCCCTTTGACAACTTATAAAGTTAATTCAAAAGAGATAAGAAGAATCTAAATAATCAAGCAAAGCATATAATAAAATTTGACTGTGTATAATTTATAGCACACTGGAATGGGGATTTATTTGCTAAAGTTATGAAAATACATGATGTGGATGATAAGGATGTTAAAGCATCATATATCTGTAGAGAAATTATTCTGAATATTTAAAAATTGAATATTACTATTTTATATGGTACAATATATAACTGAAATGTGATTTAATCTGTTCACAGAATTTTAGGAAATTGTCCTGAGATATTTCACACTAGTAAAGAAAGTCTCCTTACTGAAAAAGATAGAGATCAAATCCCTGTACAGCAAAACAGCAAGAAAAATCTCTGTATTGCAAAATTTACTTTTCAATCCACTCTGTGTCTCTATTTTTTCAAGCAATATCTCGTTAAGCAAAAACCTCAAACAATAAATAGAAGAATTTAAATGGCCCATTTGAGGGTGCTTAAGTGGCAGTTGACTTGGCTATTTATGCATTGGGTGTATGATAATACATTTTTGACACATACATGAATGTGTTCTGTAATATGTTATGCATACATGTACGTATCAAGAAATGAACCTAGGGAAGGTACTTCTAGGTTAATGAACACTTTCGTGATCACAAGGCAGCTCTAAGATAACTGTGAGAAGACTTGATTGACTTGCTTTGCATTAGCTTACCTCAATTGCATTGTGCTGAGTCCTGAAGGAGGACCTCAATTAGACCTGGCCACAAAAGATACGCTCATCAACTCTCTGTGGCCATTGTGGAGCTGAGGCCACCACCACATATATTATTTCTGAAGATACATACTTGATATACTCCCTTTTAATGTAGGTCATCTATGGAATTTGAAACCCTCTAGTAATTAAAAGGAGAAGTTTCCCATATTGACACTTACAGTTTCCATGTATATGACTTGACTAGTTTAATAAGTGAATGTCTATGCATTTCAATTTAGTTTCTTTCAGTGTAGCTCTGATTTGCCCAAAGAGTTACTCAGAGGGTGTCATTTCCAACTCTCAGTTGATATTGTGTGCTAAAACTCACAGAGCAAATCCTGCAAGCATTTTAGCATTATTCCTGACAATATTTTAACATTCTGCCACATCACCAGGGTTAAAGTAACAAAAATGGTTGTCTTGCTGTAGGGATCTATTTAATTTATGAAAAGATAACTTATTTCTAAGTATATAAATAATGTTTGCTTATATTATCTCCTAAATGCATAGTACAGTGAAATTAAATAAGGTAATTATAATTTAAATATTTTCATACCTAACCTGTAGATGGTATTTTGTTATTTTTGGCTTTCTAGCATCAACTAAATTCAAAAGTTTTAAATACTTTTCTAGTAGTCTTTAATTTCTGCTAATAAATAGTTCCGTAAAAACCTCAAGTACCCATCACCTTAAAAAGAATTGAGATCTACATGAAATATTTGAAAATATAAGCCAACAGTATATGAATATACATATAAACACATCATTTACTCATGGAAAAATAAGCAGCTATAAAAGCTTAAGGAGTGTCTGGGCCTCCTTTTAAATAAAAGGGTATGTGACTTGTGAATAAAATATAAAGGTTTACTAAATGAAAGCTGAAAACATAATAGTTTTATTATGTCATAAATAAACCATGAATTCCCTATGGAATTTTGCTCAAGATTTGTGAGCGTCCATGTATTTTTACCATAAAATATACACAACATCGTAGATGTGTTTAGCTGAACAGAAACCTTGTTTTGCCAGTGACAATGAGATCCACATTGGATTTAAGTTTATTTTTGTCTTATGAACAATTCTTGACATTGGTAAGGTGAGTTTTTACATAAAAGTTTGTGGAGAATTTTCACATGCCTAGTTACTTTTTATTACACTGTTAATTTAAGTCTCCAAATACTTCATGATGAAAAATGGTTATAGGCAGAAAAGGAACTGTTCCTTAAACTTCGCATCCCACATCTTAAAAACAATGCCATCAAATATTCATATGTGAGGAAAGTTTTCCTGATATTAATGAGGTTGATAGAATGATAGTAACCACATAGCGCAACGAGTTTTGAGCGTGCTTTACCAATTATTGTATTCGTTAATCTTAAGTAGACACTCAGAGGTTGAGAAGAACCTCATTAGTGACATGTGGATAATTTTGTCTTTCAAAAAAATAGGTGTCGTTCAATATGTAGAAATAATTTTACCTTATCTAACTAGAAATCAATTGAGAAGCCACAAATCAAAATGTTATGATTTGGTAGTTTTCCAATTAATATCATCTTTGAGGAAAGTGGGTTTTTTTAAACCATGGTAAAATTATCATTTACTTCATCAAAGCTGAACAAATGAAAAATTCAGGCTCTTTAAAGGCACATGTCTCAGCTTAAAGTAAAGTGAAAGTTCCTACAGTATTTCACCTTCTACAACTTGACATTGAACCCCAAGTTAATGATGTAGGTATTTAAGAAGTAGAACCTGAGACTGATATTTTAGATAATATTCAGTACATTTAAATCCACAAAAATTGAAATCTTCTGCACAAAATAGACTGGAGAACTTTACAAATTCTGAAGCACTTGGAACATAATAGGATAGTCACTAAAAATTACATTTTTATTAATTATGAACTAATAGTAGGAACTGGTAATGGGCAATGGATAACAGTTTATTTTGGTTCCTTTTTTCTTCCTGATGACTTAATTTTTTTCTTCTCCCCATTTACTGTTAATCTTGTAATGTCTTGCTTACTGATATTTTGCTATTGCTAACCTGCTGTTTGCTGATCTATATTTTCCTAAAATTAGACTGAATAGAAACTTCAGGCTTGTGTTAATATAAAAGAAGAGCTATAAATTCAATGATAAGATTTAATTAATCTTTTATTATTACCATCTTTGAAGTTCAGGTAATAAATTGCCGGTTTGGCCAAAAGTACTTCTTCTGATTCATTGCTAGAGGCCAGCACTTCATGTATCATCAAAAGTGGACAGCTTTCTTTATTTCATGGGCTATTTAACTTGAGAAAGGGAAAGTAACACAAACCTTAAATTTCTTATTCCAGCTATTCTTTTTTAGGAGCCAAAGTCAACATTTCTATTTCCCTAGAGCCTCTCACTTTCACTGTGGAATGTTTAAAAACTGAAATTTCTTCTTTTTTAACAACCAGTTCGTCTGTGCAAATGCACTGGATTTGTTGAGCTAATGCTGTTTTTCCGGATCTTTCCTTCTTTCCCTGTCTGTGCTTCAATGCCTCCCCAACTTTGCAATGTAGCAAGCTGAGCAGTTGTTCAATCAGATGTACAACCCAGTAAGTCATTTCTGAACGTTGCCGCTGTAACATATCAAAGCATGAGGATCCATTGATCACATGTCATGGTGTGCCATACTGGGGAGGTTTCAAAAATATATATGAGTCTCTTCCCATTCCCGTTCTTCAAAAGAAATGACCTGTGCAAAGGCCACTGCCATTTCTTTTGAATGTGAAATTTAAAAATTAAGAGCTCAAGAAAATAATGCCAGCTCTGATATTGCCTCCTTCTTAACTTCAGCTTTAAGGCTATGGAAAAGCAGAGGTCAGCGGCAGATCTAGGCTCTTGGAACTCTTTCTTAGTTCCTTCTAACTCAGAGCTATCTGTGTGAAAAAGGATAGCATTTGTAAAGTAGCAAGTAAGTCGATGTAAATTACATTCAAATGATAGAAGTTAAAATAGGCTTAGATTTAAAAATAGGGCTATGCTCTTTGAGATTGGTAAATGCCTAACATTATTGTGGGTTTTGTAAGAGTTAAAAACATGTCATTTGGCTGAGGACAAACTAAAATATAGCCTCCTAATAACAGATAGTAACAATTCTGATTATAGCTTAATGGTACACAAAACAGGTAACTAGTAAAAATATATGTAAAATGGCTGGCCCAGATGCCACCACTGATTTTTTTTTATCCTAATGACAGGTGTGCATTTATATGAAGCAGTTTATTTGCTTCTTTAACTTATTAAAGAAGAAAGACCTTTTTGTTTTGTCAACTCAACTGGCTTAACTGGGTGAAATAGTACCTCAAGGTGACCAGAATTTGTCATTTGGCAGATGTGATCTGTGCTATCATGCATTCTAATTATGTCCTATTTATGAATTCCCATCATGGGAAAATGGAATAGCATAGATAAAGGAAACGATTCAGCCAACAACTTTTTGTTAAGCTGCTATTCCAGGATATATACGACATGATACACAAGATGCTTGGGTGTATTTAATTAGATTGATGAGTGCTGTGAAGTGTGTAAACCTGGCAATTCACAGACCTGTACCTCTGGGGCTAAAAATAGATTATATGTTTATTAAAAAATTTTTTAAAAAAGTCTATATAGATTCAACCTCTACATTCCATTCTTTAAAACAGATTTTATTTTTGCAAACTGAATTTCTCAATTTCCATTGGTGCATCTTTATTAACCTCTTTCCCCAAATATGATTTTTAGCAGAGCAGGAAAAATAATCTAAATTTCCTATCCCTTAACATTTGAATGGGAGTGCTCTTTATTATTATTTAGGTTTTTTGGAGGATGGGGGGAGGGAGAGGGAGAGAGAGAATCCTATGCGGGCTCCACTTCTAGCACATGAGCTGGACTAAGGGCCTGCTTTTACAACCCCGAGATATGACCTGAACTGAAATCAAGAATTAAACGCTTAACCCATTGAGCCACACAGGCGCCCCCTTGAATGGGATTGTTCATAAGCAGGTTCTAGACAATGGGTATGTGAAGATAAGATTGGAATATCTTTAAGCTTGAAAATTGACCCTGGAAAAATGAGTAGATCATTTTTAAAAGGTGTAAAATAAACCCAGTGAAATTGTTTCACATTTACTAGTTGGGGACAGGAAGAAAACCTAACTATGTCACATTTTGGGTGTGTGCAGGACAGCTGGAGAGGGCTTTTTTTTTCCTGTAACAGCAAAGAGTTACCAGAACCACAACAGGATTTCAGCATCTCTGTCAGAGTAGGTAGGACCAAAGAAATAGCTCCGTTAACTTTAAAACCATTTCCAGAAATATTGGTAATGTGGCACTTATTGGACTTTTCAACCACAGTGGTGGGTCTCCAGGAAGCAAAAACAAACTTTTCTCCTTGAATTAATTAAGCTAACCCACTGGTTTGGCATCTGGGAGTATAGCCAGCCTCTCATTATTTTGACTCTCCCTGTCTGGAGATATTCTCAGGGTCTAGTACTTTTTTGGACTGATAGGGATGCAGCATGATGGATTTTCTCTTCTTAATAGTTTTTTTAAAAAATGATCATGTTATTCTGGTTATAAAAATAACATATGGTCACAGTGGAGAATTTGCAAAAGTAGGGAAGTATAGGAGAAAATAAAATGACAGAACATTGCCTGGCACAAAGATAATCACTAAGAGCATTTGGGGGGTTCCCTACCCAGACATCTTTTTTGTTATTTTTATCCTCTCCTTTCTTCCTTTCTCTTTTTCCTTTCTCCCTCTTCCCTCCCTTCCCCCGTCTTTCATTTTTCCTTCCCTCTCTCTCCTTTCTTTTTTTTCCTCATCTAATGCTCTTCTTTTCTTTTCACCAAATTGTGTCAGTGTTTATTGAATTGTATATTCTATTTTTATAATGTATCATCAGCATTTTCTCCAGTAACGATTCTTCCAAAACACTATCTTATTGATTATCTGATATTTCACTATATTTACTCATTCCCCAAATGTGGCTCATTTCTCCCCCACTTTTTTTGCCAGTATATAATGCTCTGAAAAACATTTCCCATGTTAATCTAGTCACATTTTTATGTTTGTCATGGAATGAATTCTGGCCAATGACTTTTAAAAGCTCCCAGTAGTTCTTACTGTGTTGCATTTCAGAGAAATTCTACCATGACACTTTTCTTTCAGCACTGAATAAAGCTAGCCTTTCTGCCACACCCTGACCAATACCAAGAAATGTCATTTTTCATAACTTGAACAAGTGCACAGGTGGAAATTTTTTGTCATTAACTTTATTTTCTTCAATCACTAGAGTGGTTGGGGTTTTTAAAACATTTTCTATCTGCTTGTATTTTTCTTCTGCAAATTGTTTCTTTTGGTCATGTAAGCACTTGCTTTTGAGTTTGCTGTTTTGTTCATTTGTTTGAATGAGTCGTTCTATACTTTGTATAGAAACTGTCAGATTTGTGGCAATATTTCATTTCATTTAAATTTTTTAAAAAGATTTTTATTTATTTGAGAGAGAGCAAGAGATGAAGCACTAGAGAGGGGAGGGACAGAAGGATAAGGAGAAGCAGGCTCCCCACTGAGCAGGGAGCCAGATTCAGGGCTTGATCCCAGGACCCTGGGATCATAACTTGAGCCAAAGGCATACGCTTATCTGACTGATCCATCCAGGCATGCCTCATTTAAATTTTTTAAAAAAGATTTTATTTATTTGACAGAGAGAGACACAGAGAGAAAGGGAACATAGGCAGGGGGAGAGGGAAAGGGAGAAGCAGGCTTCCCACCAAGCAGGGAGCCCGATGGCAGGCTTGATCCCAGGACTCTGGAATCAAGACCTGAGCCCAAGGCAGGCACTTAACAACTGAGCCACCCAGGTGCCCCTAAATGTTTTTAATAAAGAAAACTAACTATTTTTAGGTTTCTTGACCTGTGTTTCCCTTTAGAATTTTCTCGTTTTCTTTAGGCTTAGAAGCCATTCTCTGATTTGAAGAATAGACACTCACTTATATTTAAAACTTTTATTTATTTATTTATTTGTTTATTTTATTATTATTATTTTTTAAAGATTTTTTTTATTTATTTGACAGACAGAGATCACAATAGGTAGAGAGGCAGGCGGAGAGAGAGGAGGAAGCAGGCTCCCCGCCAAGCAGAGAGCCCGATGTGGTCTTGATCCCAGGACCCCAGGACCATGACCTGAGCCGAAGGCAGAGGCTTTAACCCACTGAGCCACCAAGGCGCCCCAAAACTTTTAAATGTTACCTTTTACATCAGTTTAACCCCTTTATCTGTGTTTAGTGTATTTTGATTCCTGTCGAGAGGTGAAGTTTTAACATATATTTTTAAATGTTCAACTAATTATCCCAGCACCATTTATCAAATAATTCTTTAACAACTTTTCTTCATACTATTTCATTGTATAGTAAGTTCTCATCTGGATGAATGTCTTCATTTCTGAGCTATTCAGTTTTATCAATGTCTGTTGCTTTTTGGGTCAGAATTTTAAGTACTGTGGCTTTACAATATTTTTAAGTATCTAATGAAGCAAATTCCACCCTAATTCTTTCTGCTTTTTATTTCATTTTGTTGTAGTGTTCTTAGCCTTTAATTTTCTATTATTCCAAGTAAACTTCAGGATCACATTGTCAAATAAAAAGCACAACTGTTGGTGATTTTAATTTGAGTTATACTCAACCTATAAAATAATTTTTAGAATGATATCTTTCCAATATTATTTCTTCCAATTCATGAACTTGATGCAGTTTTCTTTATTTCATAGATCTTTTACAGTAAAGGTTTGACATTTTCCTGTTAATAGGCGTGTGATATTTTAAGGATAGTTCTAAGTATTAGTATATATATATTACTATATCTCTCTATCTATATAGATGTATCTATATCTATCTATATAGATATGTGTGTATATATAAATATGATTTTTAGGTTACTAAAAATTTATGTGAGGTAATTTTTGGTGAATGCTATATTTCTCCTTTCATTTTCTAACCAGTTATTGGTATCTAGGAAATTTCTTCTTATTATTGTATGTTTATGTTGAGTAAGGCCCCTGTATAAATTTTGGTGAATTAATTGTTTTTGTTAAATAAGATCATTTTACACTCAGATCTATATCCATTAATCTAAACCAAATGAGAGTAAATAAAGATTGACCTTTGAAGTCTTCCTGGGAACATTTTTTGTCCTGGAGTAGAAATAAACCTACTTTTGAAACTCCTTTACTTGTACTTTAGTCACCAGGTACTAAGTGATGCTGTAATGCCATTTCTTAGGAATCTAAAATTTTGTCTTTGTATCCTTATTATTTCTCATAATAATAACCTTTCTGCAGCTTAACTACCAGTCTCTACTCCTGGAGGAGTTTTGTCTTGTCATTATAAACACTATGCAGGTTATCTTCAGTTCAATTTTTTTTTCTTCCCTTAGTTCTTAATTCCAGACAAATAATATGGTCTATTCATCAGTCTCAAATACCGACTTTGCCATAGCTCTAGTAATTATTATGCCCAGAGATGGTATCCAGAGGTCTCTTATAAATTTTTAATAAAACTTTAGTGCTTCTGG